TTCTGCCAAGCGCAGTCCCCGCCCTTGTCCTGCCCCCTCCGAAGGCGTCTGGGGCCAGGCCACCTCCCCCCACTGCGCCCCCACCCCATCGCCCCAGGCTGGGAGGTCCCTGGAGCCTCTTCCCGCCCTCAGGCTGACGGCTGGATTCCCCAGGGCCCGGCGACCCCAGCGGTCAGAACCAGCATGGAGACAAGGCCACTGTCTGGGCCGCAGACCCCAGGGCGGGACCGGGCGCGGGGGGACTTCCCGCTGGCCGCCGGCGTCCAGCGCCACGCGCTCCGTCCTCTTGTGAACAGCGCTGCTGTGGCCGTGGCGTCCGGTGTCAGTCAGCGTTCTCACAGGACGCCACGTCCACTGCCACCACGGGTCCCACTGTCCTCCGGGCCGTTTTCTGCCAACAAGTGGGAGCTATGATCAGACAGAGCCTTTGAGAGGCCACGTGTCACACACGTGGGAGGGAAGAAGTCATGAACGTGCTGGTTGCTTCTAACAGCGCGTCGGGGGAGGTGGGTGGTCCCAGATCCCAAAACGGTCCCCAGGGTCCAACGGTGGCCCCGGGGTCTGGAACGTGGTGGGTGATAACGACCCAGCCTCGGTGACGTGCTCGCTGACGGAAGGCTCCAGCCGCACTGAGCAGAGGCCCTGGCTGGCGCTGGGAGGGTCTGTCACAGCACGGTGGCCAGAGGTACGGCGTCGGCGGCACGGAGGCCACCAGCCTGGGCGTGGCTCCTCCCGGCACCAGCCTGGTGGCTGCGGCCAGCACCAAGTCAGGCGTTCGTGGGACTGTCTGCACCTCTGCACGAAGGAAAGCTTGGGTTCAGGCTTGTGTGGCCTTCGTGGGCCAACCCAGGTGGCCAGGGGGCTCACCTGCACCTCAGAGGGGCCGGGCAGCTGGCAGGGTCAGCAGGTGGCAGGTAAGGTGTTGCATGGGACCTGGCACTGTGGCCTGGCGAAGCCACCCCAGGGAGATGCAGCAAGATGGCCCGAGGTCCTCAGAGGTGTGGCTGGAACCGCAGGATGGGGTTTCAGGGGGATGTGGATGCTCCCCGGGTTCATTATGGGGCAGGGTGGGGGTCTGCTTGCTGCTCCCCAGTGGGACACACATGGACCGTGGTAGCTGGGCACCGCAGAGTCGCCTCGGGGGGAAGAAAGACGCCCAGGAAGCACTGGGAGAACTGGCCGCAGACCAGCCACAGTGCGAGACGGGCTGGGCTCAGAGCGGGCTCCGGGGGGTCCCCAGAGGCAGGTGGACGGGGAGCACGCAGCCTAGCGTACGGTGGGGAGGGCGCTTGGGAGCAGTGACGGTAACGTTGGGGGGTGCTCCGGCCTGAACGGACACTGATGTGCTGTCTCCAAGTAAACCTCAAACCCTGACTCACCGAGCCCCCCAGCTCAGCGGCAAGGCAAAGTCCTCAAACGCTAATAACTCTGTTATAAACTCCAGCGTGTATTATTGTATTATTTTTTTCCTTCTGGGCAAGAAGCCGCTCGAGACTCTCATTTGTTCAAACGTTCTGGGAACAAACTGCATTTAAAATTCATCTTCAAAGGTCTCAAAGTTTCAAAAACAATGGTTCTGCTAGGGAAAGCGGCTTCTAAACACACTGTAAAAATACTTGAGAATATCATGTCGACTGTAACTGAAAAATAATCTTTTTAGAAATTATCCCTGAGTCTGAGACGATCTCATTTCCTGTCCCGGGCCGCTCCGGAGGCCTTTCACGCATGATTAGCTGCCTGAGTGGGGACGATTGTTTCAGGGTGACCCTTTCCTCTCCCTGGGGCCACCCGGAGGCAGAGCTGGGAGCAGAGACGTAGAGGATTCCGATCCATTTCAAACCCCAGAAATTTTCTCTAAACGCAGCCCGGCTGTAGCGTTCGGCATCTCTAACTCACCTCCGCCGTCTCTGCCTGGACAGAAAGTCCTCTGAGGCTCCGCCAGAGGCCGGGACCGGCTCCGGCAGTGCCGGGCTGGGGACAAAAGAGACTCGGGCCCCCTCGCTCTGCCACGATCGCGCCCTGGAGGAGCCACTGCCGGCTTCTGACCAGAGCTGTCTGCACCGCAGCTCCCTCGCGATGCTCCGTAGCAAACCAGTCTTGTTTTGGGGGGTTCTTGCCTGGCTTTGGGGGACGAGAGGGCAGTGCGACCCTGAGTATGAGAAAGCATAACTCAGGGACAGAGTGGCGCCAAGGGGAGGCAGCGGTGAAGGCGCAGGGGGGCTGTGGGGCCGGCCGGCCACTGCCCGACCCCTGAGGGGGCCCCGCCTGCCGGGCTCCCCTCATTATTCTGTCCTAGGCAAATGAGGCTTCTGTTCTTGCTGCCGGGAGCCCGATGCCTCCCAGTTCCCCTGCGTCCCACAGAGAGGGGCCGGAAATCCGTTTTCTACTCAGGCGGCTCGGGGATGCCGATGGCGGGAGCCAGTCTTACCAAATGAGGACAGCGCCGGCCAGCGCTCCGGGCGAGGCGACGAAGCGTGTGTGGTCCCCTCCGGTGTGACCGGAGGGCCCAGCACATCGGGGCACTGGGCCCACACCGTGCCTCCCGCGACAGGCGCTGCTTTGCAGATGTGCCCCGTTCGACCCCCCAGCACCACCCGAGGCGGCGAGGTCGTGTCCCCCCCCGCTTTACAGATGCAGAATTGAGGCGCATAACGGTCATGCCCAGGGCCACGCAAGGGCTGGAGCCGGGACCTGATCCAGACGGGGTGGCCCGAGGACCCACGCTCAGCTCCGACAGGATGTCGGCAGGAAGAAGCGAGAAACGGCGTTTATGATGCCAAGTGAAGGATCGGGCCGGCCCATGAGGAACTCGAAAACAGGACCGAAAAGCGTGAACCAGTCACTTGAAGAATAACAAATACGTGAATAAATACACGAGAAGATGC